ACAGGCCAAGGATACCTATACCAGTAGTATATCCCCCCCTATGCCTCCCATACAGCTCCCCTCAAACAGTACCACCCCTTTCAAGTCCTCATTCGATCTGTGACGGCTAGTGAGCCGATAAGATCCTAGTAGCCTGTGCTATTTAGCACAGACATATTCATAGTGTCAGCGCTATGTTGTGCTCGTATTGAAAGTCGGGAACTGCCCGTGTTTGAGACGCTGTTGGAAACTGGCGCACACCTTAATTATGGGGGTACGACTGGAGGACAGCTACTAGTATTTGGAATATTGGAATCATGCATATATAGGGCGTTAGATGTAGCATTACTCTTTTTCTTCAGTTAATAAATAAACTTACCTTTCGACATACAAACGCCCAAGCTTTATATACCGGAACCGTTACACGATCATGCACTAAGAGTAGCCCTTAGCTCTTCATTATCTCCCCTCTCCAGCAAACGAAACGACGGCCATTTGCGGGTGTATGGCAGCCGGGAAAAATCCGAAAAATCACTGGGTGCGGAGCTCTCCTAATACCGACATTAGGACTAAATCCGAAGACATAGTGATCCTTCCGAAGCGTTCGATGAGGCCGGCCAGCTGGGCGCTGCAGACTTGTGGGTACCCCGAAGAATTCGCCCTCTGCCTTTCAAGCCTCCTTCCCTAAGCTCGTGCTGAAATTTCAGAAAAGTCTTGACGGAGCGTGATTGCTGTATGGTAGCTTAGCCCAACTTCTTTTGTGCCGTCCAGGGCGCTGGGGAGTGCCGTTGACTCATCGACAAAAGAAGCCCTCCTGGCTAATTAGCCGAAATCTTGGTCTTGGCGCCCACAAAAAATCCAAAGTTGAAAACTCCTCGAAAATGTCAGTTTCAGCATGCTCTTCAGAGACCTGTTCCGCCTATCGCTCCACATCTGAGGCGCCTGTTCTCCCTCAAGTTGTTTGTCCCATTAGAGCAATAGTCCCCCACAAGCCAAGACCCAGGTTTTATATTTTTTGACTTGATTTCCTCCTTGCGGGTATACGTAGCGTCGTAAATTTGTAGTGAGTGATGGCCGATAATCAATGAGGCTAGCTCCTATTTGCAATTTGGGTGACGCCTTTATTGGTTGTTGAGGCGAGATGATGCGTGGTTAGAGAGAGTTTGAGGACCCAGATGAGTAAAGCAAGAGAGGCATTGTCGAGAAGTCGTCAAATGGAGATGTGCTTAAGGTTGCTTTCGACTTCAATTTGGATGCGATTCTTCTTGGCTATCCCAGATATGCAGAGCATACTGAGCCATTACACCAGCACCACTGGAAGGTGAAGAATTCGTCTTTTCCGGCCCCTGTGTTAGCGTTGTTTACTGCTGTCATCAGGAGATCCCACACAGGCTATCTATTGAGATGATGAGTAAGTGTTTATTGTCCTAAAAGGTCTATAACTATGTAAGGACATGCAGGTCTTTTCTGCCTATAGGCCAGGAGTATTTATGCCTCGGGTAGTGAACCCCCACCTTTGCCTCCTTCAAGACTTTTTTTCGGAGGGCAAGACTGAACACCTCTACGCGATGTCTTCTACGAACTTGGGAGTGAAATATTCTCAAAAAGCCAAGTTCAGTCAAATTTCGCAATATCAAAGAACTTGGCCCACGAGGTAAAATTTCAAATTACTCCACCACGTCGTTTTCTCACTCCCAACGAGTTTGACTTCTACCTAAGTCTCATCAAGTCAATAAGTACAACCTAGTACATCCTCACTCCAATGACCACACCTCTCTTCAACCTTCTCTGGCCTCAGTTGACCACAAAATACACGCCCACGCCGATATTTATACCCGACGGAGGAAGCAAAGCGTGGAGCACAAATCTGGGAGATAGCTCTTTGGGATGGACGTGAGAGGGATCAGGACAAGTTTACAAGATGATGCAGAAGAGGGATACGTTGTGGACGGGCGTGAAATTTCGAGTTTGGCAAGGATTTTTTACAAATTAAGTTTTGTGCGCCCCAAGACTTCGCTTGCGAGAGTGCAGCTGACACAATAAAAACAAGCAAACGATAGAAGGTGTTGTGGTCCGCCTCCTGGTGGTGTTCTCCGGTCTAGTTTGAGTAGCCTAGGCACCTACTCCACTTGGGAAGGAGACATCTCAGATTACATATCGCGCGGAGAAAAGTTGAAATATTATGAAGGCATGCCTAGATAACTCAGGGTCTTTGAGACGTTCCCCTGGTTGGGTATCCACAGACGAGGGTTGACTTGGGGTGAAGAAAAAGCCACCACAACTTCGCAGTGGTACTTGCAAATAAAATCCGAGGTATGAGTGCTCTTCCTTTACGTTGAATCATCTATTCTGTACTTTTCTTTGATATTGCGTCATAGCTAGATAGCTGCATACGCAATTAAAATCTGATGCAAAAAAAAAAACTTCTTTCCAGCAGTGATACCCCCACAGGTCTTCATTCGAGTACACACTTAGAGGAGCCGTTATCCCGTCATTATCTCCCCTCTCCAGACAACGAAACGATGGCTATTTGCGGATGTGTAGCTGCAGAGAAAAGTCACGAAAACGACTGGATGCGGGGCTCGCCTATAACGAAGAGGCCGGCCAGCCGGGTGAGCAGACCTGTGTATACCTAAGGGCGTCTCTCAACCTTCATAGCCTCCTCCTTACTCTTCCCCTGATTCATGCCGCAGGAAAAACCGAAGGTCGTGAAAGGATGTCAGAAAAGTCTTGGTCGAGAGTGACTGCCATGAAGGAACCTAGCCTAGTATCCAAAAGTAGTTACGGACGTGGGGTCTTCGAGTAACTCATATATTTCAAATGCACTCCTGGCTAGTACATTCGAAGGTGTAGATGTTGGACTATTTTGTAAATGGGAGTAGAAGGTAACAAATCATCGAAGGGTTGCTTCTCTATTCTCTGGCTATCGAGTATCTAAAAATACATAGTTTTCCTCATATGTGTGGCGGCTAGTAAGCCGGTAGATTGCCTGTAGCCTGTGCTATTCATCTCATGCATACTCATTACCTCAGCGCTAAGATACGCTGGTACTGCCCGTGCACAAAACATCGTTGGTAACTAGCCCACACTTTAATAGTGGGAGCCGGACTAGAGGACAGAGACTAGTGTTTGAAATATTGGAATCATGGAAATAAATAGGGCGTTGAGTGTAGCAGTAGTCTTGTTCTTCAGTTAGTAAATAAACTTATCTTTCGACATATGAACGCCCAAGCTTTATTTATCGGAACTGTTACAATATGAAACCCTGCTTGATTACTCTCTGGAAATAATGCCACCAACAAAACATGCCAAACCTTGCTCAGGACAGATAAGATGAGAATATCATCAGGAATATAAATGTAAACCCAATTCATTGTAGGAGTTATGTAAAATCCGAACAAAAAGATATTTTGCTTGATACACATCATGTATCAGCATTAACTTCTCCGACCCGAGTCATGTTGTGAGTAAATTCGGATAAACCTAGAATAACCGTAGCTCAACAGTAGATTAGTAGGGACGATGTTTTCAACGGGTCGAAATCTTTTTATCTTGAGGGCGGAAGGGTCTCTTACTTTGCTTTCGTGGGCTTCTTGTTCGCCCGCCGGTGGGTAGCACATATTGTGATATAACGAGGGCTTCTCTGACTACCGTTGTAGCGTTTGGTACCGCATTATCTTTCCCCATTCCCAGCATCATTATCATTGTCTTGGTCGTATTAGGTGTTATCGGAAGCGTATCTTCGACGGAGGGGGAGATAACTCAGCTCAAAGTTTATGAGGTGTTACTCAATCTCGGCTCAGCAGACTCTACAGTGAGAGCTGGAGGTTCGTAGGGGACACCACTAACAGGTGTTGAGAATAGTCTCCCTTGCACCTGTGTTTAGAAGAGGGGTCGATTCGACATCCTTTTATCCTTCATTATTGCATAAGCTTCCCTCTACCAATAAGTCCACGAACTAAGTAGTGGGTTATATATTTTTATACTCTCCAGTTTAAGGTTCTCTTTTGTACCTAGATCTAGATAGTTCGTGAATAACATCCATCTCACGACCCTTAGTCGGAGCCCTACTCATCACCAACCCTTGATCATGGAGGAGATGCCATCCGTTGAGTTTCCGGAGCGTACCCAGCACCCGTAACGGAGATGGCGGATTGGATCAAGTGGGCCTCGAATGTTACAAAGAAGGGAGATATAGATGAATATACGCACCTCGTATGGTCCCGGTGTCTAGGTCTCGCCTGGCTGGGACTGCAGGTTTTTTGAGACTTTTTCCCGCGCACGCAGTTTCCATTACTACCATTTTTTAGATAGAAATTTCCGTAGAAAAGTCAGTTGAACGGCTATTCGTCACGGGAAATTTACTAATGATATTTGAAGGAACATAAGAGGCAAGGAGCACTGTACAAGGTGTGGCCTGGGTCAGAGAGGATCCTAATGTGTTTAGTATATGACTCAAGTAGCGCAATAAACTACACACATGGCTACCGAGTCAATCTTCTCTGTGAGAAATGAACCAAATCCAAATATTGCTTCGTATCATCTTTGTGGCCAGAGTGCCTTTCCACAAAAGTAAACTTTCTACCAGATCCATCGCCCCTATAGCCAGGATGCGCGATAGGCCGAAAAGTGAAAAACTCATGGCTCACATCCGCTGCTGTCTACCAGGCTCTAGATCCAGAGAGGATTCCTAGAGCCGATTCTGTTCAAACTTTGTAGGGCAGAAGGGATCAGAAGATAGTCAAGATATCAGGACTTCATACCTAGAATACATGCCAAATTGAGCCAAGCCTTCGTCCGGTGAATACCCTCATCAGCCTGAGATGACCCTGTATATCACTATCGCTACTAATCTACTCTAGAGCAGATACAAATACTGGAACCGCGCATACGTCTCTGCTAGCAAATTCATCGTCTTCTAGCAATCTTAAGACTACCCAGTGAGCCATTCATCCCACCGCAAATCTAGCTCGTGTACACAAAAACCGTCCAGTTGTCCCCGACACCCCGAATCTTCAAAAATGCGCACTGCCACTCTACTCGCATGCGTTGGCACCTGGCTCGTCTCTCTCGTATCTACAGTACAAGCCGGTGATTATCAATGTGGTAATGGCGCTGTAATTCCGAAGTCATACGTCCAAAGTACCATGAACCACGCCAAGGCGCAGGCAAAAAATAGACAATCTGGTCATAGCCTGCAAAGTCCGGGTAATGAGATGAATGTTACACCCGGAGTTGGTCCAACCGTTCAACTGTATTGGCGCGAAATATTGCACATGGATTATTATCACAAAATCGACAGTAAGTCTACCACCGTGCAAGTTTTTTGCCTCCTCTTTGTTGACCTGATCATAGATGTACAATACAACTACAGAGTAGTTTTTGATAGCAATTTTAACCTGATGTCTGTCGAAGCAGTCACACAGTCAGGATCACAGATGGGAAGAGTTCTCAACTGCCAGTAATTCGAAAGAATCTGAGTCGGAAACCAAATTGATGATGAATAAATCAATTTATTAAACTCTACGAAGAGAAAAAAACTGTGGCTTTTACTCTCAGATATTTATAAAGTGTGATCCGCTTCGTGAACCTGCTAACTGATAACATTCCCCTCGTCCTAATACTTGCTACCAAGCTAAAGATTATCAGGAGCCATTACGCTATGATGCTGCTTCGACCTCCTGACTATAAGTTTTCTTTTTGCATCAGATTTTAATTGCGTATACAGCTATCTAGCTATGACGCAATGTCAAATAAAGGTACAGAAAAGATGACTCAATTTATAAGAGGAGCACTCGTGCATCGAATTTCATTTGCAAGTACCACTGCGAAGTTATGGTGGCTTTTTCTTCATCCCAAGTCAACCCTCATCCGTGAATACCCATCCAGTGGAACGTCTCAAAAACCCGGAGTTATCCAGACGTGCTTCCGCCATCTATTAACTTTCCTCTGCGCGAAATTTGATGTTAGACGTCTCCTTCCCAAATGAATAAGTGTTGTGGTTATGAGCTGTGAGGTATATAGCAATTATATCTCTGCTGTCCGTCGGTGGAATTACACGGGCTCATGTGCAATGGTGAGTCGCGGAGATGGCGCGCTCACGCTGGGTGATGGCACGATGGACACTGAGTGCGTATCAGATGGTGATCTATGAAGGTGATGCTAGATGTGCATCCCGACGATTGATAATATCATCTAATGGATGATGTGAAGTATGATATTATATGGATAGATTGATTCACTAAACTCGGCAGGTGAAGAGATTGTAAAGTACATGAACAGCGTCTGTGCATCACCCCGTATTTTCCACCCTTTCCTAATTCAGCAGCCCATCCTCCGTTTCCCTGTCTCCCAACAACTCAACCGAGCCAGCACAACAATAAGGTGCCCAGACTACTCAAACCATACCAGAGAACACCACCAGGAGGCGGACCACGGCACCTTCCATCGTTGGCTTGTTTTCAAAGTGTCAGCTGCATTCTCGCAAGCGAAGTCTTGGCGCGCACAAAACTTAATTCGTAAAACTCCTGCCAAAATTCGGAATTTCACACCCCTCGAGGTAATATCCTTCCTTCGCATCATCTTGTGAACTTGTCCTGATCCTTCTTACGTCCATTCCAAAGAACTGTTGTTGTGCTGGTGATGGATAAGATTACGATGCACAAGGGTAATGATCACTGAGGGTGAAGGAAGAACTTCCCAGGTGGCTTCATGATGAGTAGACGAACAATGGAGCATTATACAGGAAGTATTTCTATATGTAACGGCTACGAAGCCGGTGTTTTCCTGTAGCCAGTACTGGTGTACAACCACTGGGGGGTGGGCTGGCGCAATAGCCTTGCAGAACATACTAGTGTTGAAATTGGCGCTACTTGGCAATGAAGAGGCGCATTAATACGGAACGTAATAAGGTTCTCTTATTATTAGCCACATTCATGACGACTCATACATTGACCGGCCTCCCAATTATTTAGCATAAACAAGTGAATTGTGTCCTTCACTTAGATGTAGTAATTAGCTTAAATAGTGCTCAATCACGAGGTATGAAAATGGTAGAGAGGCAGCCTTAGGAATGTAAGATAGATTGGCTATGGAAGGAGAAATAGGAGTAACTACAGCGAGCTCTATATACATGAGGTGTGGGTGTTTGCTGAGTAATGCCAAGACTAGATTGGCATTCATGTCACGTGTAGGTGTTTCATGTTCAAGCACCTACACTGCATTGCTCATTGCATGTTTGGAGCCCTGAGGGCGTAACTCGCTCTGATACTAAGTGGTTTTAATCAACAACTCTCCACTACAGTTTTCAGACTCTTCAATCTCCCAACTCGCTTCACTAGGTGATATTAAATACAAGTCTAACAGCTTAAGCTTCTCTATACAACTTCCATTACCACAATCATGCGTACCCTTGACTGTCCACAGTAAGACTAGTGTGTTTCCATATCATAACGCTACCGGGCACTAGTTACAACAAAAGCCCCTTCCCTGAGGGGACATGGTGACTGCTAAGTAATACAACATTGATGTGCAGTTATAACGGCTGTTAAGCCTAAGGATTCCTGTAGCCTACGCTGGCTAGCGCAGGCAATGAAATCAAGGGAATCTTCGGGAAGGATCTCGGAATACAAGGAGATTAGAAGATTCTCAATGAACCTTCTGGAAGTACACTGAAGGTTCATGAGGACAACAGGTGTATCAAGAATCTTCTAGGGTATTGTCGAGGAGTCCATATTACTATAGTCATAGGGAGAACCTTACAGAAGAGGAGTATCTCAGAGTATATATATTTGTATTCTAGCTATCGGAATTCTTGTTGTAATGTGTGGTCCATAGGGATTACATTAGGTTAGAGTGGCAGCTGTGTTGGGTAAAATTCAGTGCACAGACACCTCAATCTTGTACATAGGAAAATTCTTCTCCCCATTAGATCATTGTAGACCTCAATACACACAATCAGACCAAAAGATTTTCATTCTCTGTGTATAATGCTAAAGAGAAGCTTCAGCTCATTTACTCCCGTAAGCTCATAATCACAACAATTCTCCCTCTAGAGAATTACTATTAATAAACTGTACCTACAAGATTGCCCAAGCATGTTGTACTGAAACCGTGACAGCAGTGTTGTAGGCCATGAAAATACATATACAGACTGCAAGCGCTATGCAGCAAATACCTCACAAAAATAGCTCATATGTTACAGAGTGGGCAGATTTTTGACAGGAACCTAACCCTCTGTCACTGATCAACTATAGAAAGCAAAGACCATTTGTATGGATGATGGTATTTTATAATTCAACTAAGGAGACCTAAGTTCTACATACTAATCCAGGTTTATATACAGATTTATTACATTCTAAGTTCTCCCCTCTAAGATCAGCTCACCTCTAGATGATTCCAGTTGCTACTACAAGGATATCATTTCTAGCAGCTACTCCAAGGCTTAGTATCAGCCTTACTCATATGGAGACCTTTCTAGTCCCTTCTCAGGAGGTTCTAGTATCTTTTACGGGGCTTTTGCGCCTGCCCGTTCCCTGGTGGTTGTATGCCAGTACTCGCCAGTTGTTTGGATTAGGTCCTGGTCAACGATGTCTAGCCTAATTGTGCTATGTTTCAGGCTACTGTTACAATTATTCATGGGGTCATCATCAGGGTTGTGTGTTGGAAATCTAGACTTAGCATGTATGAAGGTTTAGATTTCTAAGTATGATCATCAAGATTAATTGAGTTGATTTGATTGAATATGATTAAGCTCATTTGGGCGAAATAAGTTTCAGTGGCTATGAAATTGTGATGGCTTGTAAGCCGGTAATTGCCTGTAGCCTGCGCTGTCTAACGCAGGCTTAGCATGAAACTAGGCAGGGACTATTCTTGGAAGCAGGGTCTTACAACTTGGCAAACACCTCCAAGAATAGGGCACGAGAAGGGATACGAAAAGGTATACGGATATACAGATAGAAAACTGTGTCATTGGCCTGGATAATAATCATGTATAAAGTAACTGTTATTATCCTCTTCAATCTGTAGTTCACCATAGATTGAAAATAAACTACCTCTGACCATAAGGTTGCTCAAGTGCCTGTGCTTAGACTGTGACAGAAATACTATCTTGTTGATAATTAAGTGGCTGGTTGTTGTTAGATCACTTGGAGTTCGGGATCACTAAAGCCTCGAGGATCTGTATTTAAGAATAGACTCATCTGTATATGTAAAAATAAGTCAACAGAGTATTACATATTATTAATTCATATTGAGAAGAGAGTTCAATATCACATACAACTATCAATAAATTCTTGTCCGAAATTGTACACTTCTTCTTCGAGATATTTCCTCCTAGAAATCCTTGACAATTTCTAACATTGTGAATAGTTTCGGTTTGGTTTGGGTTGTTAGATTGATACCTGAGCGTGTCGCAATGTAGTCAGACATGCAACTCAAGTAGCATATGCACGTTAAACCTCAACCCCAAAATGATGATACGGATCAAGTTTTATATGCTAGGTCCTGTATGGCTAGCGTGGTTGGAATATTGGGAGTTTACCAGTAGATAGATAAATACGTTGTAGCCCTCTGATAGTTGGGACAAGTCTTCTACAAAAATTATATTGGAATCAATCCTAGCCTCTCATTAAGAAATCTCATGAATTATTTCCAATGTCTGTGATAACAGACATACATATACAAAGTCGACGATCAAGTTTAAAGTTGATGACCAGTACTGGCTACAGGAAATACCGGCTTTGGAGCCGTTACACTCTCTCCAATATGGTTGTGAAACGCTTAGCCCCTGGGGAAGTGCTTGGGAGAAAATAGAAAGAGCCCATACTTGTTGTTGTTGTTGTTGTTTTATTCAAGTCCGAAGCTAAAGCTCTAAATCCACTATGAGTACAGGACCGATTTTCACAGCCAGAACTACATCTAAGACATACCCAGCTTGATTCCACCGCATGAACCACTACAAAACTAGCAGTAAGTTAAAAATATGCGCCGACGCGAACTCCTTTTCCCAAAATTGACAAAAGAAAAAGATAAATTGCAAATAATTTAGAATGGGAAGCAATGCTCCTCGCCTCGATTCCCATTTTGTCAGGTTTAGTTTCCTGACGAGTTATATTCGATCTCCACTGAGAGTAAGAGATGGATTCACAGGAGAATACCCAAAACAATTGGCATCCTGCGCAAATTGTTTGAAGCTCTCGAAGCACTTAGGCCCGAGTAGCTTGTGTAAGAAGGCATTGTGTGACAATGACCCTCTGATTCGACGCGTGATATTTGCGTTGAGTCGACAATGTATGAAGTGGGTAGGGGTGGTTTCCTCCCCACAGATGCACTCTGTAATAGCGTGTAGACTGTTGAAGCGACGATGGTACACCGCGAAATTGCCGTGGCCCGTACGGGCTGCAATTGTCACGGACGAGGACGGAGACGAGGACGACGACTAGGACGAAGACGAAGACAGAGGCTG